GAGATTTTTATTGTACCTTAAATTTCGTTGAAAGTTTGTACCTTAAAAGTGAAACTGACTGTATAACAAATTTTTTTCTTAAAGTAGATAATCAATTAAATTTAATGAAATCTAATTTCTGGTTAGATATTGACTCTTTATATTGGAAAAGATAAGGATTTTGGGAAATTTTTGTGAAAAATAATAATTTATTGGAGAATATTAAAAATGACAAAAAAATCTTCTAGATCTCAAAAAGCCCTAAAAATAGAAACTTCGAAACGTAAACTATTTTTTTCTAAATGATAATACACAATCATTCTAATTGGTTATTGAATATGGCTCTTTTGTGTTTTTTTCAAATAATTTCCTTGTTTTTGATTGATAATTTTTCGAGATCAATCATATTCAACATGTTGGTTAGTTTTTAATTGATATTATGTACTCTTTAAAATTATAAATTTTTTTTTTTTTCAATTTAAGAAAATTATTTTTAACCATAATGACTCGACCATTAAATCATTTTTTTTGTTTTAAGAAAGGTTCATGTGAAAAAAAAAATTATCTTAGAAAATACTAATAAACTTGAAGAAAATTGGGATAGTGAAATTTCTTTTAAAATTAATTCAATTATTACTAAAAATTCTTCGTATTATTTTTTTCAGTAAAATTTTTGTAAAATAGTCTGACTTTTCATTTAAAAAATTCTTGAACATTTTTTTTTAGTTGTTTATTTTTTTTACTCTAATTTTTATAGAATTGTAAGTACTTATATAAGTTGAGAATAATTTAAAAATGAAATATGAAGAATCTTTAATAATTATTTGCTTTTGAATACAAGAGATTTTTTTGATTTTTTCAATTTATTCTTTTATATGAGTCACAATTTTTGAAATGGTACATATTTCTTGTATGATATACTTCAGGTATTTTATTTTATCAATAGTCAAAGATTAAATTAAATACTTTGATAAATAAAAATTTTTATGATGTTTTTTGTAAATAAATAAAATTAAACTTTATGTAAGAATATTAAATAATTTTATTCCATGTTATATATTGAAATAATTTACATTAATACTTAGAATTTTTTCATACAATTTGACTCATAATTAATGGTTATTCAAAGTATATTTTAAAAATATTTCCTTATTTGTAACTTTTAAATCTTTGTTTTTTTTTTTTAGTAATAAATATTTTCATGAACTATTTGTCCTAAATCAAAACAGAAATTTTTACTAGATAAAAATAATTTAATTCATAGATTGAAAATTAATATATTTTTTTTTGGATAAAAATGTACAGAAAATTTCAAGAATTATTCATTACACTCGGTTCCACTTTTAAGGCACAAACTTTCAACGAAATTTAAGGCACAAAAAAAATCTCAAATTAAAGCACGAAATTTGGAATTTTTTTTTTTACAATTTATTTTACTAGAAACTGAATTTTGTGCCTTAAATTGAGATTTTTTTTGTGCCTTAAATTTCGTTGAAAGTTTGTGTCTTAAAAGTGAAACTGACTGTATTGAATCAAATTAATTGTAGTAAATTCTAAAATCAAAGAAAATCTTTGATGCATAAAAAATTCAACTGAAAATTTTAAAACTCATTAAAACAAAACAATAAAAATTAAAAATCAATATTTTAAAAATTGGTGTGCAATTTTATTTGAAATGAGAAATTCCATTGTAAATTGTAAAGAAAAAAATCACAAAATCAATAAAAATCGTTGAAGAAGGTCAATTGGGAAAATATTTTTAGATTTTTTGATTGCTATTTATATGTCAAACTTTTGTTCTTTAAAGTCTCATTTTCATTATAAAGTATCAATTAATTTTGTGTATTCTGTTGGAATTGTTTCTTCTTTTTTCTTTATCCGGGTAATCATTTCAATGGATTTCTTTCTTAATTCCTATATCCAAATCATTCGAAATCACAATTAATAAATTTCTTTTATATAATAATAGATTATTTCCGAATTGATTTTTTCTATATCATGTTTATCATTTGTCAACTGTTCAATATCCATAAATAAAGAAAAAATAAAAAAATGATTAAATAAAATGAAAATCACAAATAAGTAATTATCTTACTAACAATAAAATCCAATAATGTTGATGATTTAAGATGTGTTTATTTTTGTTTGAAAAAGATTTTCATAATTAAAATATTTTTATTTACTTTTTTTAAAAAAAATTCAGAATAAAATTTTATTATATTGAAATCTAAAATATTAAAACCAAAAGAAATATTCTAACTTAATAGAATAATTAAAATATTTTTTTTTAATTGATGTGATATTTAGAAAACTATTTCTACTATCAACTAACTCATATTAACATAACCTTATTATATTTTTTTTATCTCTTATTTTTTTTTTTTTTTTTTACAACATTCATATTTACTCTAGTGTCTTTATAAAATTTTAGGCAATTTTAAAAATTGAAAATTCAAAATTTGAAATTATATTGTTAAATATCGATAGTTATTAAACCTAAATATTAAATTTAATTCTTTTAACAATGAATTTTTAGAATAAAATTGATTTCTATCATATAAAAGTCCGTTCAGCTTTTAAGAAACGAAATTTCAATAAAATTTTAGACAAAAAAATTTTTGAATTATGGCCAGAAATTTGAATTCAAATAAAATAATATGATTTAAAAAAAAATACAATTAAGATACAAAATTAGAATCTATAAAAATAATTTGAGTTATAAAAAAATTCAAAAAATGTGACTTAATTTAAATTTTTTTGTGCCTTATATTTCATTCAAAATTTGTGTATTAAAAGTTGAACTCGCTCTAATGAATTGAAAATAACAAATATAGAAGATTTTTTGAAAGGGTAATAATGTAGATTGCTTTTTTAAATTTTCAAGAGTGGATTTAAAGCTTGTTTTTTATATGTAGCTGGGTCTGAAATTATAATTTTAAATAATGTAAAATAAATTTTATTATTTATTAGGAGAAAGGAGAAATCAAGAAAATATTATCAAAATCAAAAATATTCAAATAATTCTCAATTTTTAACAATTTCGGATTTATTGTTAAGAACTAAATGTTGGACACTATGACTGGAAAATGGTTTATAATAACATATCCGATTGTTATTTTTAAATAAAAAGTTTCTTATTTGAAACATGAGAAGAAGGAAAAAAAATTAAACATTATTATAACAAATAATATCATTTATATTTCAAAATTAAACATTATTGTTATTATTGGTGGAAGAAGTGTAAATTACACTCTAAGTGGCCTTTTACTTAAATTTCTTCAAAGGTAGTTTAAGCCTAAAATAATAGATTCCACAATTGTTTGAGGAAAAGATACAGACAAATTTTATTAGGTTGAAAAAAGCAAAAGCAAAAAATTGAAATGCAAAAAAAAAAAAAAACTAAAATTAAAATTTGAAAAGGTTTATAAGAATCAATTGGTAAAAAATCAAAAAATAAAAAAAAATAATGCTATCTTTAATTAAGGACTCACAGAATCATAACATGATACTTTTGGTTGATGGAATAATTTGATAATTGATCTTGAATGTTCACTTGGGGTTCGTTATTTAATTGTTGTAATTTTTTTTTTTTTTTTTTTGATCTTATTTGCTTTAAACCTTTGGTCATTCTAAGGCTTTGATTTTTTTTCTTTTTATTTTCAAGTTACTCATCCTTTGGTGTTACAGTTTCACAGTATTAGCAAGTAACCAATTGATCTTTTTCCGTTGTAACTCTTCTTCCCAATATAATGTAGAATTCAACCAGGGGAAAAATGGAAAAAAAATATAAATAAGATTTATTTAGAATCTGAATTCGGAGACCGAAAATTTCATTTAAAAAAATATTTCGAATAATAATGAATAATCGAAAAAAGCTGTGATTAATAATTTATTGTTCTCTATGACTACTAAATTATATACTATAACTAATTGTTAATTGGTTGAATTCTGATTTCTCAATAAAGGGGTTCTAGCCTACCACCAAGTATTACAAAATAAAATTTTGTTATTATTGAATGTAAATCACATTAGTGCTTTATGGTTTGAATATCTCTAAAAAAAATCAATTAGTAAAGTAGTATTTTTGTTGATCTAATCAATGAAAAATGATCCTTGTGTTAGTAAAAACCTTGAAGAATTTTAGAAAAATATATTATGTTTTGAGATAAATTTAAACATTTAATTATCAATATTGTGACTTCAATGTTACAAAATATGTTTCTGAAATATGTGGCGAAATTTATATTAGTATTTTGCTAAAAAATAGATTTTTTCAAAAAATTAATTAATTAATTAATTAAGAGATTATTTTGATTAATTATTTTACAAATCTTGTAAATATATTGATTTTATAAGTATATTTATCAAAAGAAAACAAAACTAATCAGTCTTTGTGCTTTTATGTTGATGATTATAAGTTAATTTTTTGAAATTAAAAAAAAATTAAAAAAAAGTGACTTATGGAAGTTCTAGAGTTGAATTATTAAATACTGTAATATGATTAGAAGGGGTTTATAATTTTAGATTTAGAAGAGGAATTATGAAAAATTTCCCTTAATTTACAGATATTTTCTAATAAATTTCAAAAATTTTTGAGTTATATTTCAATTTTTAGAAATCTTAGAACTGTTTCTTATCAAACAGTCCAAAACAAAGAATATTTTGAAGAAAAGCTAATTTTAAAGAGTTTCTTCGCACTTGAATTGATAAAATACTTTATTCAAAGTTTGATCATTATAATTTCAAAAAGGAAAACAAATGCAAAATATCCAAACATTTATTTTAATTTATCAGTTTTCTGTTGATTCTTCATAAAAAAGGATATAATTTATTGTGTTATTAATAATGATATGAGATATTTTTATGATTTAATTTAATTCGTTAGAATAATATTTAAATCCAATAACAAAACCTTTTAATTACAGACAATTCTTTACTGATTACTGAATTTTTGGGAATATTGTAAAAAATATGCTTGTTCCAAATGTAAGAAAGTAAAAAAAAACAATTATAAAAAAAAACGACCCTGGCAGGACTCGAACCTACAACCTTCTGGTTCGAAGCCAGACGCGCTGCCATTGCGCCACAAAGCCGCTTATGTATAATTCGAGTTTATGTGATTACCAATAAACGTGTATCAGTCAGACGTTCTTAATTTCTCAAAATTTTAATAATAATAAAGATAAAGAAAAATCCAAAATTAAACAAGCTATAAAACGAATAATGATATACGGGCATGAAACTATCAAAAAAAAAAACAATTCACAAATATTGTAAATTTTTCCAAATTTATAAAACTAGAAAAAAAAAAGGCAAAACAAAAATGGATTAAAAAGATAACCATCAGATTATTGGATATTTTTGAAAATTATCCAAATTAGAAAATATTTTTTAACTTTCAAAACCTGAAAATTATTTGATGAAAACAGAACAACTGGAAAAATGTTTCATTTATCAAGTTATTCAAAGTCTTAAATGCAAAAACTTTTAAATTGAAAGTTCTTGGAGTACGATCTTGTAATTACTTTCTAAATTTGAAAATGATTTCCAAAAAATAAAAATGTAGAGAATTACATAAAGTGTTCTTCTTTTTTGTGTTGCTCAAATACTTTCACATTTCTTTTTTCTCATTTTTTGCAAAACTTTTTCTAAACACATTAATTTCTTTTTCTTTTTAATTCAATGATTGAAGGATCTTCAACAGTCCAATTCAAAATCGTTCTTTTGGGTGAGTCTGCAGTTGGGAAGTCTTCTCTAGTCTGGAGATTTTGCCAGGATCAATTTTCTGAAACAATTGAAAGCACAGTTGGTGCAACGTTTATTCACCGTGTTCTCGATTTGGGCGAGTATTCGATTAAACTCCAGATATGGGTACAAACATTTTTTACTTTTTTCTAGGCCACTTGTCGTCAATCTCAAACAAACGTTCTCTTTTCGTTTATAATTTATTCTTTTGTTTAAAACAATACTCCTTTTATCACACTTTAATTGAAAAACAGGATACTGCGGGACAAGAAAGGTACCATTCTCTAACACCAATGTACGAAATTTAATTTCCTTTTTCTTTTCTTTCCTCTTCTTTTTTTTTCGTTGGTGCTTTGGAAAAAAAAAAAAACTTTTTTTAAAAAAGCTCAATCCAAATTTTCTTCCAACTTTTCAAGAATTCCAATCTTTTTCAAATCTCGTTCTTGTGGAACACTTAATCTTAAATTTCAATTTGAAAATTTAGTACGTTTTAAAACAATTACAAAATAATATTCCCAAGGATTTGGTTGTGTAAAGGAAATTTGATAAAAATATTTGTCTTGTTTGAAAAAAGTGAGGATGAATAGTTTTAAAAGGTATTAACCAAACTGTTTTACTCACTCTTTGAAGTGGTTTGGGTAACATTTTTGAAGGTTCTATGTTATCACTTTTTTGATATGACTTTAAGGTTTACAATCCCTGAAATTTGAAAAAAGATTCTCTCATATGTTGGGTGTGGTGGCTTGTTAATTTGGCTCTTAGCTGATTGATCTTTTACTTGGTATGAGTTTTGATAGTTGTTCAAAAAGTCAATTTTTGTCAATTTATTTTTTTTTCATTCCAAAATCCAAATTTAAGACTCAAAGATTAATATTTTGATCGATAATTAATCAAAAAAAAATGTAGTTAATGTGTTATCAATTGAAATTAGAAATTCCCTTTGATTTTATTTGGAGCTTTTAAACAATTTATTATTTTTTTTTTCGAAAATCCGAATATAACTTGAGGACTAATAAGCTGGAACTTAATTTATAAAAAAATGAATATTAATTTGTATGTTGTTAATTGAAATTTTTATTATGTTAGGTTTTATTGGGAACTTTTCAAAAATATTTTTTCTTTTTTTTTTAGGTAATTGACAAAAAAGTATTGGGAAATAAATATTTCAATTAACAACATACAAATTAATATTCATTTTTTTATAAATACCTTCCAGCCTACTAGCCTTATATTCTTGAATTCAGATTTTGGAACGAAAAAAAAATAAATTGACAAAAATTGCCATTTTGTACCACAATCAAAACACATACCAAGCCCAAGATCGATCAGCTAAGAGCCAAATTAACAAGTCATCACACCCAACATAAGATAGAATCTTTTTTCAAACTTTAGGAATTGTAAACCTTAAAGAATGATACACAACACTGATAAATCCAAAAAAATGTAAAAATAAATTTACTTTGGTTAGCCTTTTTCAAATTTTTATAGCCCGTTTTGAAGGAAGAAGAAGAATAAAATGTATGGGTTTAAATCCAAAGAAACGTTATATAGATCACTTGATTTTTGAAATGTTCTTTGCTAATAAATGTTTCAAAGAAGATTTTTCATAATATAGAAAAATGGAAACTGAAGAAAAAAATTTGTTTACATTTTTTTGAATTTATCAGCAGACAATCATTCAAAAATTTAAATTGAAAAAAATTAAATATTTGTTAATTTTTCACTTATAATTACTTCATTTATAATAAAATCAATTTTGGTTAATAAAAGATCTTTGATCAAAAAATTATTTTTCAATAGATATTTAAAAATTTAAATTGGAAAATCCAATTTTCCAGGTTCTATTACGATTTTTTTCAAATTTAATAATAAAAAAATTGAATATTTTTTTTTTTCACAAATAAACTTCATTTTATTATATTTCAAAAGTATTTTAAATTTAATAAATATCTTTCAAATGGATAATCAATTATTTGAACTATTATTGAATTATTTGTTCATTTTAAATTGAAAAAATATTTTTTTTTTGATTTTCCATTAGGTTTTTTATAATTTTTGAAATAAACAGAAAATTTATTTAATTTTCTGTTTATTTCAAAAAGCAAAAAAAAACTGCCGTTAGCTTTTCCAGAATTCAAAAGAAATAATTAAAATATATGATTTTAATCTATTCTTTTGAATTATGAAAAACCGCCGTTAGCTTTTCTTGAGTTTTCTGTTTATTTGGAAAATCAATAGATTTTCGTTAGGTTTTTTATTTAGAAATAAACATAAAATTTATTAAAATTTTATGTTTATTTCTAAAGTAAAAAAAACCTAGAACACTTCACATATAAAACAGAAAACCTCAAGAAAACCTAGGCACTCTACGGCACTCTTAGAATCCCTAAACTTATACTAGAAGATCCATCACGAGAAGATCGATATCTTCAATCTAAACTAAATTCCAAAAATTTGGACACAGTTTAAACAGTTGAACAAATAAAAATACCAAGCTTTACCAAAAATTGAATTGACTATTTGAATTAAAATAAACTAAATTCCAAAAAATTTGGAAACAGTTTAAACAGTTGAAAGAATAACAATACTGCACTTTATATTCAATTTGGGAATAATTTTGAATTTACAAACTATTTTTTCATTTTAGTCTTTTCTGTTTTGTTTTCATTTCCTTTTTTCCAGTTATGTAATCTGTTTCCTTAGATCTGGATTTTTTTTCGATGGTTGATAGAATGTTAGTGTTGAAGTTTAGTTAAGTAGAGAAATCACATAAAATTAGTTGATAGTATCTAATCATTTGATCGATCAACAATTGTTGGTGAAATTTCAACAAATTTATACCTATAGAATTTTTTTTTCAGCTTGTTTCGTCATTTTGAAACACAGACTGATTTTGATTTTTTAGTTTTATATTTTTTTCTTTAATTTGAATAAAAATGATTACTTATAAAAACAATAATACTGGGTAACCTAATTTAATATTATGTTTGGAAAAAATATAATAAATTGTGAATTTTTTTTGCCTATTTTTTGATTTTGGGTCTTTGTCCAAATTTTTGGAATGGGGTTTAGAATCCAAACCATTAAATGAAACGAAAATTTAACCTTGTTCCAAAATTCCAAATTTGAATTTTAATTGTAAAAATTAGTAAAATTAATATTTTTTAGATTTTTTGTTAATTTCAGATTTTTTCTGTTAATGCGAAATTGAATTTTTGAATCCAGTAATAGGTATTAATCGGGTTTGTACAATTTCAATTTCAGATATCTTTATTGATCAGTGAACAATAAGTAAAAAATTATTTGAAAAATATTCCCTTTTGATCAACGACCATTTTACAATTAGAATCAATTCGACAAATTAAAACCCATTTGACAATTTTTTTCAGTAATGATGAGTCCACTTTTAATATTTTTTAATTTATCAACTTTAATTATTTAAACATTATAAAATATTTTAAAAGTTGTGCTTTAGGAAACCGTTTTAAAAAATACAATCAAAATTTTACATGAGAAAAACTAACAAATTACTTAATTACACCTAAACACTTCTACTAATATTAAACTAATACAATTGAATCACTGATCATTTCATCAAATTTTGATTTTAATATTTGTTTTTTTTTTTTTATACCACATGACACCAATTTTTTTTTCATAAATAAAACACGATTTTTAAAAAAATTACACAACAATTTTTTTTTCATAAATAAAACATGATTTTTAAAAAAATTATTGAAGATAAGAAATACAATAAATAAACTTATTAGAAACAAGATTTTTCAAAGTCAAAAATCAAAAATTAAAATAATAATATAATTAAAAGTGGGTATGGTTGGAATCAAAAATAACCAATGTTAAAAATTGGATAATTTAAATCTAAAAAAAATCTAACAAGCCTAAATTAAAATCACCATTATTTATATCTTAATTATTATCCATATTATCTTAATAGGTATTATAGAGGAGCCAAGGGTGTGATTATTACGTATGATGTAACAAATCTCGATTCATACGAAAGAGCAAAAGATTGGGTTAAAGAAATACGAACACAGGGCTCACCGAATGCAAAAATTGCTATAGTTGCAAATAAGATCGATCTTGAGGATCATAAAGTGGATCAAATGGAGGCAATGAAGTACGCCGAATCAAATGATTTATTATATTTTGAAACTTCTGCAAAAACGGGAGAAGGTGTGAAAGATGTATTTTTTGGTCTTTCAAAAGCTTTGCCAGTTGAGTGGGGCGAAGTTAAAAAGAAAAGAGGGATAGAGTTCTCGGATTCTGAAGATGAATTTGGCGTAAATGTAAAAAATTCGAAAAAAGTAAACAAAAAAAAAGAGGGTGG